ATCTGCATTTCAGTCTTTGCAACTAGGAGAACAGCATTATTGGCGTTGCTCAAAGGTCAGAGTTCAGGCCCAAGGCCAGGGGCAGGTGTCCATGGCAAAGGCGCTGCCACCAGGTATCCTTTGCATAGGCTCTGGTGCCTCCCCAGGGAGCATCACACTCAGCTCCAGGTTTCCCAGGGAGCCAGGCTCTGCATGATCTCTCAGTTGGCCTGACCCAGGGCAGAGCATGCAGGACCCTCGAACGGATGCTGGGCGCCGTCCTCCAGAGGATGTGGCCTGAACAAGTGTGCCTGTCACTTCTTGACAGAGCTTGACCACAATGGCGACCGGCAGCCGGTTCATCTCCCAGGCACACACCTATGTGGCCAGGGCACCCTCAGGACCCCTGGCAAGATGGAGCGAGCATGGGGACTCTGGGCCCACTTTTCCCATTACTAGCTAGCACTGGTGACATGGCTCCCTCCAACTAGTCCCCCTTTGAGGAGGGGACACATATGGGAGTGCTCTCCTAGGAGAGTGACACATGAGGACGGCAACAGCAGCTTCCAGAGTGTTCTATCAAAGGCCGCGAGGTCGACAGACAGCCACACAGATCTGGTTTTGGCATGGCCCTCCCCTTGCCCCGTGGACATCCAGGCAGCAGGAAGGGCTTGTCTTCAAGGCCACACGGTGACACTGTGTCAGGAGGAAATGAGCACACAGTGTCACTGCTGTCCCCTGTGCTGGGATGGGAGGGAGGCCACAGCCTGGCAGCTGCATGCCTAGTGAACCAGCGGCCCACAGGAACAAGGAGGAGTCCCTGTGAGCTGGCGTGGATGGCGGGCTTCCTGGAGGAGGTGGGCTTTTTACAAAGGATGGAAAAGCAGAGAGGCGATTTCAGCCATAAGGCACTGAGTGGGGCAAAGCACGAGCTATGGCCAGCCCCACGTGCCAGGAAGGGCTGGGAGCACTTGGACCAGGCTCCAGAGGGCAGCAGGAGATGTGACAGGACCCACTGTCCACCTCCCATCACCCACAGCAAAAACCACAGCAGCAGAAAGACCCCTATGGGGGTGGGCCACAGGAGCAGTCAATAGAGAATACAGTGCCACCAGTTGCACATGCCTGTTTAGCTCCCATTTCAGAGGACACTCGTGGAGGCAGCTTGACTTTCTGCTTCTCAGAATTCAGGGCGGACTCTGGGGAATCGTTGCCGTGATGGAAAGATCTAGAAGGGGCCGTCAGAACAGCAGTAACAGACTTCCCAAGACCAAGTGACTCATGCTGCTCCCTCCCACTGTGGGGGGCAGATAGCTGAGGACAAACAGGAAGTAGGGGGCTTTTCTGAGTCACCTCTCCCATGGGAGGGTAGCCTGCTGGGCACACAGGCCAACCAGACCCCTGGGTGACGAGGACCCCCACAATGGAGTCCTGCAGGCTCCCTCTTGGGGTTCCTGAGTCCTAGACAACAGTTCCTCCCTGGCCAGAGGGGCCTTGGGGCTCACTCACACCCCACCACAACAGGCAGGCAGGTGGTCGCTGTGCCCCTGCCCTCCCAAGCCTGCTCTGCACTTTGCCACCTCCCAGCCTCTGCCCCCACTTCTCTCTCTGGTCCTTACCCAGTGCCTCCCTTACTTGCTCTACCTATGGCACTCAAGTCTAGGGAGGAATCTTGCAGAGACAGGTGGAAACTTGAAGGGGATCAGAAGGGCAGAGTTGGGGGTTTTTCTGTCTCATCGCCCCCAGTGTCTCTGGCTCTGCTTTCAGCAGGAAGCCCCCAAGTCTGTCTGCAATTGCTATATTCCCTGGCTAAAACGCACCTGAGACTTTGTGAGAGTTTAACCACGGTCACTAATAGGGGCAGGCCCACAGATGGAGGGCATTCAGGAGCAGGGCAGAGGGGAAGTGGGGTCAGGAGACAGATGTGCAGAGATGTCCCGGTCCCAAGCTGGCTCTGGACTTCCAGCTGGTCTCAGAAGATGAACCTGGGGGTCAGGGGGAAAGTGCACAAATGTAGCCCCGAGCAGGGGAGGCAGCCTGTGGACCAGAGTGTGAATTTGGGTCTAGAAGGTTCTGGATCTCAGGGATGTCTGTGCCTAAGGCAGGGAGGCCCCAGGGGGTAAAGGTTGGGGGCCATGAGCCGGGATCCTGAAGGCAGCATTGTCTTCACCAGAAGCCACTCTCCCCCGCCCTGCAGTGCCTGCACTAGTTGAGGGGCTCCTCTCTCCCATCAAGGGCTCCAGCAGGACCCTGTGACCTGCCAGGCCCTGCTTGCACCTGCAGCCCCCATGATGTTGAGGCAGACACTTCCCCTTCCCTGGTCTATTTCCTCATGGTGAAACCAGGGACTGGGATTAGGCTGGGCTGGGTTAGAGAGGGCCACATGGCTTCCTTCTGACAAAGGACTCCTTGAACCCTTAGGGCAGCATTCCACGTCTCAAATACAGACCAATTTGTGCCGCAGGACAGGCAGGTAGTGTGCAGTGGTTAAGTCCCCATTTGGAGGCCTGCATCTTGGTCCAAGTACCCAGCGTCCTGCTCATGCTCACCCTGGGAGGCAGCAGGTGGTGGCCCCTGTACTTGGGCTCCTGCCACCCACATGGGGGAGTTGGGTTGAGTTCTCAACTCCTGCCCTCAGCCTGGCCTAGCCCTGGCTATTGAGGACATTTGGGGAAGACAGAAGAATTCTGTCAGTCTCTCTGCATCTCAAATCTGAAATGAGCATAAATAAATAAAATGCTCTTACACCTGCTCAGCCTGCCATGGCAGCGCAGGGTGGCGTGCTGACTAAAGCCTCTCCCAGGTGGTCCCTCTGCACAGTAGCCCCTCAGCAGCCCTGGCTTCACCAGGGTCACCCTCTGCTCTGAGCAGCCTCTTATCTCACCTGCATTCCATCAGCCACACCAGCGGCCATCCCACAGGCCCCTCCAAGACCCCCTTCTTCCACCCTCCAACCCCCCTGCTCCCCCGCAGCCTCTGGCTTTGCCTTCCCTATCTGCTCACACCAGGATGCCCCATCTCCCCCCCCCCCCCAGGCTTCTGTTATGTATCCTCTCCTTCAAGAGGCCAGAACAGCCCCTTCCACCCTGACTCTCCGTCCCTGCCCAGAGACTACTGAAGGGACCCAGAATGAACAGACAACAGAGACATGAGTAGGAGACAAAAAGCCTCTGGGCCTGGCATGCCCCTTCTATCTCATTTTCTCTCCTATCCGTGTTTCCCACAGGAAGGCAGAATTGGCTTGCAAAAGTCCTCAGAGTCTTATTATGCAGGGGGTGGAGGTGGAGGCAGGGCCCTGAGGGCTCAGCAGAGCCCAGGGCTGGGCAGGCTGACAGGGTCATCTGTGCACTGCCCACTAGCACTTGCCAGGCAAGAGGGGCTGGGATCCAGAGGGAGAACAGATTCTGCAAAGGCAGTGTCTTGGTTTCCTGCTTGCAACCAGTGGTAATGAGCTCTCTGTCACTAGGAGTATGCAAGCATTGCTCAGGGAGGTTTTCAAGGGGATTCCTGCACCTGGGGCAAAGTTCAGTGAGATGCTACCTGGGAACTTACTGTCATTGTGTAGATAAGGGAGGCACCAAGACATCAATGATACAGGGATGCACAGAGAGGTAAGAGGAAGTGGGTCAGGCTGGGTCATACTAAGGAAAATGGGAAGTGCATAAGGTCAGAACCCTGGCCTCCCACCCAGAGGTCTCCTTCCTCCCTTACCAACTCTTCATAGCTCCACACCCTGCCCTGCGATCTGGGGGTGTGGTGGACACCCACCATTGGGACCCCTTCCTCAGCGGAATTGCCAGTTCCTCCCTCTGGAAGACATTTGTTTCTGTAGAGGTCACTTCCAAGGGGAAGTGGCAGGGCATCCACATTGTCCAGACAGGAGGGCCAGGTGGGAGGAGGCATTCAGACCAAGGGGTGCTCTGCCCCTACTCCTGTCCCGGAGCGGATGCCTGGCATCTCCAGTGGCCTCCTGTCCTGGGCTCAGCGACTCACAGGACCAGGGTAACTGGCCACAGGGTGACATTCACACAAGCAGCTCCAGGACTTGTAAACCAACAAAGCAAAGAGTGAACACGACTTCCCGCAAAGCCCACCTGGATCTCCACGCAGGCCCAGGAATGCACCTCCCATCCGGCGCCTCTTCCACGCTGGAGGTTACCTGGAACACCCACCTGGGACACCCACCAGGCTGAGCTGGGCAGGGGAGAGGGAGTCTTCTCCGCGCCTGCACGAAGTCCTAAGCGATGCCCCGAGAGCAGGGTGGGGGGATGGGGAGCGAGCAGAGCGACTGGAAGTTAGACCTTTGGGGTCCCTGCTGGTCCCTCAGCTTTGCGAGCTCTACTAGTGCCTTCTCCTCAGGTACTATGCCAACCACACGCAGCCAGCGCTCCCTGGAACCAACCCATGCACCGGCTTGACAAAGCCAATCCGCAAAGGTCACTGTCCCCTGACAGGCCAGCGGGGTGAGGAAGGAGATGCCCCCTCCCCAGTGGATCCTCGGTTTAGGTGGAGCGGGGAGGGGTCCACCTGTTGGACAGTGGGAACCTGAAGTTGAGGGAGCCGAGGATGTTCCACGCTGCACCCTGCTGGGCTCCAAAACCCGCGGGGTGCGCTGAAGCTAGGACAGAACGGTGGGTGCCACGGATCGGCGGGGCCCGGACCGTGCATGTTTGCATCCAAAGTTCAGGCCAAGCGGGAGCTGGGGCAGGGGCCGTGTCTACACAGGCAGCCCCGGCTCTGACAGGTCGCGCGCGGAGCCAACCCAAAGCGTGCACAGGTTTCCTCCAGAGCCAAGTCAGTGCTTCACAGGTTAGCCAAGTCGTCGGGTCCTGCAGCAACCCCAGCCGCCCTCCTCTGCGCAGAAACGGCCGAGGATCTGGCCTTGGCCGCGGTGGGGAGTTCGTCTCGGTCCGCCCACCCCGAGGTTTCCCCGGCCAGCGCGCTAGGGGCGGCTCCGACCAGGGCCCAGCAAGAGAACGACCGCGGGAACAGCGAGGGTGGCGGGACGCACAGCGACTTACCCGGCGGGGTCCCCGCGCCCGGCCGCTCCCGCACGTCGGATCATGTCGGCGGCGGCCGCGGGCCGCTGCTCCGGAGTGCTCGGGCACCGGGCGCTCCCCTGGCCCTGGCACAGGAACTGGGCAAGGGCCCGGGCGGGCGCCACCGCCAGCCCCGCGCCGAGTGGGGAAGCCGCCGCGCGCTGGGCGCTCGCTCCCGGCGACTTCCTGTATTGCAGCGAGCGGGGCTTTCAGGAAGGGGCTGGCCTTGGTGGTCAAGGGTTTTCTGTCAGAAGCCATTCGGCAGCGGCCCACTGCCCTAGCCCCCTGGAGCACACGGAAGCCCGCTGCGCCCCCCGAGGCCGGGGCAGGCGACGGGCGGTGCCGGGAGTTGAGGTGCCGGAGGGTGCGGATATCCAACCTCGGGGTGCTGCCTCGCACCCTCTGGAGTGGGGGTGGGGAAACTCCTGGGAGAGTCTGGCAGTGGGCGCGGTCCCGCGTGTGAGGGAAGGAGCCGTGGTCTCGGGTCGGCCCTGGCACGGGCCCAGAACTTGATGGATGGAGTCGGTCCGAGGCACAGCCTTTCCTGCTGAATCTCACCGGGGCAGCCCCAGATCCCCACAGGACACCCCCTCCACGTTCAGACCTGCAGCTCTGCTGCCTCCCCTTGGATGCCTCCTCAGACATCGAGCTCACTCCCCCTTGCAAGCCGTCTGTGCACCCTTGGAGCCTGGCCTCTAATTCACCCATGCCATGCCTTGGCGCAGGTGGAAGAAACAGGACAGCGCATGGGAGGAAACAGCCCAGCACCTCAGGTGGGACCCGGAGGCCCCTGCTGTAGGTGCGTCCTGTGCCTTCCCTGCCCCCAGAACGTGTGACAGAGTGCACAGGACTAGAATCTGGGAATCCGCCTCCCTCTAATGCTGGTTTCTCTGACTGGACGCCTGATGCCGCTGGCTACACTGGGCTTTGTTAGCAGGGCTTCAGTGTGGGGCAGCACCCTGGACCTTCACTGCTCCGCCTCCCATGTTGTCATAGATACGGAGACTGAAGTTGAAAGAGAGGTGGGGACTTGTCCAAGACCCCTGGACACCTCCAGGCTGGTGGCTGAACCCTAGGGCTCTGGTGAAAGTGCCTCCAGTTCCCCTGGCTGCCCTTCCCTCCCTGCTACCCCGCCTCCACTTCCGCTCCCTCTCCTGGCACTTCCACTACATCCGCCTGTTTGAAGTCAGAAAGGACTCGGTGTCCCTGCATCCAGCAACCGGCCAGCCTCCTGGAGGGAACTCCAGGGTGCAGTCTAGCCACAGTCTAGCTGTGTGTGGAAAGGTTCAGCCCAGGGTGGCCCTGCGGCCCAGCAGTCCACCCGCAGATGTGTGCTGGAGAACAGGACAGACGCCTGGCGACGTGGAAAGCTGCCCAGGGTGGAGAAAGCTGATGGAACTGTCTGTGTTACTGGCATCCTGTTTATTCTCTAGCTCCCTGATAACTCACTGGGGAGAGCAACTGGAATCTTTTCCAAGTAGCTAGAACCCTGCCACCCACGTGGGAGACTCCAGTGGAGTTCTAGGGACTTGGCATGGGACTGCTCAGTCCCTGGCTTTTGTGGTGCTTTGGGGAATGAACCAGCAGAGGGAAGATCTCTGTCACACATACAATCCCCTGTCATTCTGCTTTTCAAATAAAGAAATCTCTGGAGCCTGGAACGCAACCTCTCCTGGGTGGAAGGAGCTCGATACTTGGACCAACCTCTGCTTTCTTTCCGTGGCCATTAGCAGGGAGCTGGACTGGAAGTGACACGAACAGGACATGAACAGGCACACACATGGGATGCTGGCATCATAGGCTTAGCTAACCTCTGAGCACAATGCTGCCCCCTAAGATAATCTTTAATGAAACAAAAACCATGCATAGGAATACTCATCCCAGCCTTATTCATAGTAACCAAAGGTGGAAACAACCCAACGTCTATTGACTGAGTGGATGTAGCAGATCTGTACATTAGACTCACTAAGCCATAAGAAGGAACAAAGTGTTTTTAAAGATCTGTTCACTCAATTATTTATTCAGAGAGGTAGACAGACACAGATCTTTGATCTACTGGTTCACCCCCTAAACGGCTGCAACATTTGGGACTGGGCCTGGCCAAAGCCAGGAGCCAGAAATTCCATCCAGGCTACCCACATGAGTCTTGGGGACTCGGGCTTTCATGTACTACTTTCCCCGTCTTATTAGCAGGGAGCTGGATTGGAACAGACACCCCCTGATGGGATGCGGGCACCCCAAGAGACAGACCAATTTGTTGTGCTGAATCCAGTTCTGGTTTATGCTATAACCGGATACTCAAAAATGTGCTAAGTGAAAGAAGCCAGGGACAAGGCAGTTGAAGGCAATGTCCCAAAGAGGCGAATTTGTTGGGGCAGAGAGCAGGCTGGTGCCTTCCAGAGGCTGGGGAGAGGGCATGAGGGGGAGGCCTGGTGATGGTTATGGAGCTCTGTTTGGGGTAGTGACCATGTTCTGAAATTGAATGTGGTGATGGTTGCACAACTCTGTGGCTGTACTAAAACCATTCAATTATATCCACTTGAAGTGCATCTGCTGTGTGGTGTGTGAATCAGATCCCAGCAAAGTGATGTTTGTGCAAAGGGTGAAGAAGTGTAGGCTCCGGGAGGCCACCCGGGCTGCCCCCAGAGCCAGTCCTCACCGACAGTCCTCACACAGCCTTGCCCACTGGACCTTCCCTCCCTAACAGAGACTGGTCTGTGTGGGTGGGAGACCCACGTCCTGCTGCAGCCTCCGGCCCTCTATCTGACCGGCCTTCTGCAAGGCCACACTCTAAGGAAGGGACCCTCAGCCGAGAGAGGCAGCCATGGAGAACTTGGTTGGAAGGAAGCACTGGGATCCACCTCCACTCAACCCTCCCTGGCAACTCTGCAGTGGGACTTGCAATAGCTAAACCCAGCAGGAAGCCAGAGGCCGTGGGAGCCTGCTGTTCAGTCCCCCAGGATCTGTGTGGGGTCGAGCAGGCTAGGCCAGGAGGGAATGATATGGGACAGATGAACTGGCTCCTGTCCTCCTGAGCTGTGAAATTTGAGCAGCTCAGCCTTGTACTATCTGGCACGGTGGTAAAGATGCCGGTGTCTCCCATGGGCGGTCCTGGGTTCAAGTCCTGGTGCCGCTTTTGATTCTAGCCCCCCTGCTCATGTGCACCCTGGGAGACAGCAAGGGGTGGCTCAATGGGTTAAATTGCTGCTACCCACGTGGGAAACCCAGATGAAGCTCTGGGCTCCTGGCTTCAGCCTGGCCCAGCCTTAGACACATGTTGAGCATTTGAGGGAGTGAAATAGAAAATGGGAGATGGCTGGCTGGCTCTCTGTGTCTCTCTGCCTTTCAAATAAATGAAAATAAGATATGTTTAAATGTATTGTTAAAGCACTGGTTGTGGGAACGCAGCATCTTGTCCCTCCTGAGCGGCCTGTTTGTTGGCCGTCAGTGACACACGGGCCAGGGACCAGAGTGCCCCCAAGGAGCCTAACTGAATGCTTAACCAGCATGACGGAGAAGTCACTTGCTTGCTAGTGGTAATACTTCTGTTAATCAAAAGTTAACTAAGAGGAAAGCAGCTCTTCCTGTGGCTTTATCCACCTTTCTGGAGTTCTACATCTCCATTCCCCATGAATTTGGAAAAATAAGAGAGTGAGAGTGAAAGAATGGGGAGGGGGAGGAAGGAGGGACAGAGACGCTCCATTGTCGCAGAGTCCCTCAGCGGCTTGGGGTCAGCCAGGAAGGGCAGCGTCTGTATCAGCTGGGTGGGTGTGGAGTGAACTTGGATCCAAGGTCAGGCCTCTGCTCCTGCTGACAGCTGGCCAGCCAGAGTGAGGGTCTGGCTGCCATTGGGCATGCCTTATGAGTCTAAGATGTGCTGACACTCTGAATGTGTTTCATAGGAAAGGTTCCAGTGCCTAGGTGATCGAATTGGCTGAAACAGCATGGCTGGGGCCCCAGGGTCCCCCCAGGGACTTGATCTGGGGGTATGATGGAGGCCCCCTTCCTCACCTCCATCTACTTGAGGTTCCATGAAGCCAAAAAAAGGGAAGCTGATGTGACTGGGATTGCATGGTCCCCAGGTCTGGAAGGGGGCAGCTCACAGACGTGCTTCTTGGTGGCACTCCCTGGTTGAGGGGTACACAGGCTTCCTTCAGAAGCACCACTCTCAGCGGGTTCTGCCTGGGGTCCCAGTCTGTCTCCTTCCTGCCCCTCTGCCTCCCGCAAGACTGCTGGTTTCAGAGGCAGCTGTAGAGACACAATCTTATCCCAATTCCAGTTTTTTGTTCTTGGGAGGGTGAGCAGAATGGCCCACCTTGACCTTGACCAGGAGGAATACCCTGTGTTCCTGGGAAGGGGGAGGGGAGGGCTCTTTTAGGTGTCCTGAACCCCATGGGGACAGAAAGCACAGGCTTTCAGGATCTTCCTCAGGGAGCTCCCCCACTTCCTGCCCAGACCCCAGCTGTGTTTGTTCATCTGACTCCAAGGTCAGTAGCCGAAGCCTGTCTGATCCCAGCTGATGGCTGTGAGCCCACCCTTGACACGGATTTGTAGAGGCTGGGAACTCCTTCGGCAGCGGGGAGCCTTAGCTCCTTACGAAGAAGTAATGCCTCCTCCTTTTAAAGGTACACTCTCTGATGCACCAATCCCCACCTAGCAGATGATACTGACTGCAAACTGTGGGTGATTAATAAGCTCGGGGTGGTGTGGGCTTGACCAAAGCCCCCTTGTGGTCATGCAGTTTTTCCTGTATCTGAGTTCTGCCCTGGGATTTGGCACCGTCAGGAGGTGAGCGCAGACAACAGGCAAAGCATCCCTCCTTCATGCCATCACCGTGGGCCGTCCCCTGCCTGCAGCTGGCGTCAAGGGGGGGGGGGGGGGGGGGGGGGCGGTGCTGGTTGTTGCTGGTGGGGGTCGTGGCAGGAGGCTGGGAGGCCTCAGCTCTTCCTGCTGGCTGCAGGCTCAGGAAGGCAGCCGGCTCTGGAGGGCTCTCACTGCCTTGGCAGTCCCAGCCTTCTCCACGGAAACATGCAAAGTGCAGAGACTCTGCAGCAGTGACCCTGAGAAGCATGTTCACATTTTTGAGCAGCAGCCAGAGGGCTAAGCAGCAGCAGCTCATCAGCTCCAGAATGGGGCCTCTGTTGGGAGGTTAGGACAAGGCTCTGGGAAGCTAAGCCCCTACTGTGCGCACTGTGCTGTGGCCCCACTGTGTGCCTGAGTGGGGTGGGAAATTCTAAAGGTGAGCATGTTCCCTCCCACCAG